TAATATAAAAAATACTAAAATCTCTAGATCTAAAGTTTGATTTTACTGCTATAGCAATCGAAGAGTTTAAAGACTTAGAACAAATATCTTTAGAACAACTAATAGGTCCTCTTCGAGTTCATGAAAAATACTATAAATTAAGCTTACTTTTAGAACAAAAGTGAACAAAATCTCAAAGAGGAAGAGGTCAATAGACAAAGAGGAAAAGGTGATTAAAATAAGATCAATTAAGAATCTTAAAACAATAAAAGTGATAAAAAAAATTCTAGTCAAAGAGATTGAAGTTATAATCGAGGACATGATAGAAAATTTAAAAGGTTTAAAATGTAATGTTATATTTACAAAAGGTATGGACACTACTATTTTGAATGTTATTATAATCTTAACAATCAAGGTGATAAAACAAATTTTGTTAAGAAAGAAGAGAAGAATAAAAATCCTATTTTGCTAATGACTAATGATAATTTGAAAGAAGATTAGTCAATGACATGAAATCTAGATACATAAGCTTTAAATCATATATGTGGCATTAAAGAACTTTTTTTCAAAATAGATACAAGTTATTATGATAACATTAAATTTGGTAATCTATCTCAAAGACTAATAAAAGGGGTAAAATTTTTCTTAGACTTAATAATGGAAAAAATTATACATTTCAGAAGTTTATTATTCTAATATGAAAAATAATATTATGAGTTTGGGGCAATTGCTTGAAAAAGTTTACGATATTAAGATGAAATATATGACTCTTATATTCGAAGAAAACATTAATCTCACATGTAAAAATGATGAAGAACAAAATATTTCCTCTACATTTATATATTTTTTATTAGTCAAATTATTTTAAAACTGATATTGACGATAATTCTACATTATGATTTCTTAGATATGCTCACTTAAATTTTGAGGCTTTAAAGCATCTAGAGAAATATAATATGATAATTAGATTATCAAGAATTGATCACCATCAAAGTTATATGAAGTGTGTCGTAAGTAAGCAAGAAAAAAAGGCTTTGAAATTAAAAAGAATAAAAAAAAAGTATGATATTGACTTGATCTGGTGCACTCTGATGTTTTTGGTCATACTAATCCAGTATCACTTGGAGGAAGCAAATATTTTCTTATCTTTACTGATGATCATAGTGATAAAACTTTGGTGTACATGTTAAAGAAAAAGAAAAAAAAAAAAAGCAAATTTAAAGAATTTAAGAATTTAATTGAATGTTTAAGAACTTATAAGTGTGGTGAATATATATCAAATAAATTTGAATTTTTTATAGAGATAATAAAATTTTATATTAATTCATCATGTCGTATACATATCAACAAAATGATATCTCAAAAAGAAAAGATATGATTTCACTTAATATGGTCCTATGCACATTAAAAGAAAGAAGAATTTTTAAAGAATTTTCAAGAGATGTTCTTACTTGTGCAGAGTTTATTTATTTAATAAGTTTCCAACAAGGCAAATTGGTAATGTTAGACTAGAAGAAATATGGAGCTTACATCATTTGAGAATTTTTTAGAAGTATTGTATTTGCTAATATACTAGAAGAAAAGAGAATTAAACTTGAGGATAAAGATTAGAAATGTACGTTCTAGTAGTTATAAACTCTATAATCCTATCATAAATAAAGTCATGATGTCAAGAAATATTGAATTTGATCAACAATGGATTTGAAACAGGAAAAGTGATGAGCAACATAAGATTCTTTGCCTAAATCGATCACCTAAATAGATTAGGTCATATGATTCAAGAATTCTGATTATAAAAAAGATTAGAATGATTCAAGAGCTATATAATGTGACCAGAAGAATAAATACTAACAATGATAAGTATTCTTTATTATCTTTGATATGATCTAATAACCTTCAAAAAAGCTGGTAGAGAAGAAAAATGATGACAAGCTATAAATGAGAAGATTCATGCTATCAACACAAAAATAAAATGCATAAAGAAATCTTTAAAACAAAAAGAAATACACAATGGAAGGTGAAAAAATATAAGGCTTGATTAATTGCAAAGGGATACAAATAATAATATATGTTCGATTATGAAAAAGTATTCTCACTAGTAACTCGATTGGAGATAGTAAGAATACTTATCTCCCTAGCAATTCAAATAAAATAAAAAAAATTTATAAATAGATGTTAAATCAATATTTCTTAATGAATTTCTTAAAGAAAGAATATATATTCAAGAATATCCTAGTTTTATTATTCATGAGTAAGAAGACAAGATGTACAAGTTAAAGATGACTCTTTAAAGGCTTAAACAAGCCTCACAAGTAAGAATTTCTTAAATAGATGTTTATTTTATTCAAAATAATATTTCTATATATCCAAATGAACATGCCCTTTGTATGAAATTTAATAGAGATATCCTATTTGTATGCATGTGTGTGATTGCTTTAATCTTTACAAGTAATAATATCTTTATGATTAAAGATTTTAAATATTTGATTAAGAAGAAATTTAAGATGATCAACTTGAGCCTAATGACTTATTTCCTCGGTATCGAAGTTATATAAGATAATAAAAAAATATTTATCTCATAAAAAATTTATGCAAAGAAGATCCTAAAAAAAATTTTCATAAAAGATTATCATCCTACTAATACACTTATGGAATATGACACAAAGTTGACCAAGCAAGATGAAGGAAAACTAATTAAATGTTTAATTGTGACGAGTTGGATAACACAAACTATTAAAAGATGTTCGAAGATAATATAATAAGAGTGTTAATGTAAATTTTGATTGTCCGAATATTTTAGTTTGCGCTTATACAACAGATGTTGAATCCCTTCACTTTAGCATATGCTAAACTTTACAAAAATTACATTGGGAGTATATGTGACAAAGTTCCTCCAATTCTTAAGTTACTCTTGACTGTGAGGTGTCAGCCAAATTTAGAGTTCATCAAAACTGAATGTATTAGAGATTGAGAATCTTAGAACTATAGGGAACATACCTGAAAAGACCTTTTATAGTATGATTTCAGAATATTTATGCTCAAAGATGTGTCTTAATATTAGAGACAAGTTGTATCGTGTTATAAATCCAAAGAACGTGCAATGGTCATTAATGTGACTTGTAATGTTCATAGAGCGATGCTAATTAATTATTAGTATTCTCCAGTATAGTATGCAGTGGGAAAGCGTGGACTCTTAATAAGTTAACCCACTGTTTTCTTCTTAATAGGAGTCGACCAGTCCTCATCACCATAGTAATGATCCCAAGAGAAAATTGACTCCTTCAAACTTGGAATTGTCTGCACCTCCTCCCTTGGTCCAAGCGTGTGCTTTCCCACAAGAAAACTCTCGGCTATGAATCCATAAATAAGAGAGCAAAGGAGATGAGGACACAGTCGATCGAAGCGGCGGAGAAGTTTAGTGGGAGGTGATCGGAAATGGGAAGGTTCGCCTCTTTGCTCCTCGCTGCAGCCGTCGTCGTCGTCATCATGTTCATGGCCACCACTCATTTCATCTCTGCAACATCATACCATCCTCCTCCCATCAATCCCCACAAGCCAATGCTCGACGATAAGCAGACGTTTGCAAGCCTCAGAAGAGGGGGACAACTGCGTCCTCCGGCTCCTGCAACTCACGTGCCTTATAATGTTCGTCGAAGGGTGACGCCGCCGCCACCGCGTCGTCGCTGATACTTGTCTATCTCTCACTCATTTGATGTGTTAATCCGATCTAGACATGCTTGGTGTTGTTGATGTTTGCTTGAAATCTATGGAGTCTGAGTAGTTTTGGTTCCTTGTTGGCATGAGAATACTGCACTATTGTTGTGTAAACGTAATGCCGCTTTGATGATAAATGCAGCTTTTGGCCTCTAATTCCGTAAATGATTCTGCAGCTTTTGGTCTCTAATTCTGGAAATGATTCGAGCAAGTTTGATATGTGTGGATCTATGAGCATGCATGCTTTGAGAATTTTTGTGATTATTATTATTATTAATATTAATATTATTAATATTATTATTATTATTATTATTATTATTATTATTATATCACCTACGAGTCTACAATTTTGTACAACAGAGGGCATTAAATTATTATCATTCCTCGATTTTTTTCCTCATCCTCGTAATTCCCATCATGATCTCAATTATCATATAATATCTATTCCCAGAATATTGGAATAAATCTTTTCTTGATGGGTTAAACAATTTAGAATTCTTCAATACTTTTATGGTTTTTTTCAATAATTACATTTAGCATGATAGTCCTATTTCAATTCAAAATTTTAGACCTCTGCTATATATATATATATAGCCCAGCCAAGTCTCCCATGTTTGCATCAGAAGATACATACAAGTCCTAGAGAGAGAAAGAGAGAGAAAGGGAGGTGATGTAGAATGAGAAGGTTTGCTGGTATTGTCCTCGTTGCAGTTGTGGTGCTTCTGGGGATGGCAAGTGTGCTTTGCATCCCTGCGACAATGGATCATGGTGTTCCTGTGCTGGGGAGGAAGCTCCTGGAGGCCACACCTCGGCAGCCGCTCACCCATGCAAGTTTAAGAGATCAACCAGGTCCTCCGTCACCTACGCATAATGTTGGTAAATTACAGTCTGTGCCACCTCCACCACCTATGCAGCCTGCTCCATCTGCTTGACCCATAAGCATGTTCCTGTCACGTACGCTTCGATCTAAAGATGAAGATGAAAGATCCGTTTGTTGCTCCGTAAACATCTCAAATTGAGGTCCCTTTTCACTTTTCCACGTATTAGTGTTATGAACTCCAAGAAGGAGACTGCTGTACACCATTTCGCGTTTGTGTGTGTGTGCATAGATATCTATGTAGTGACAGCTGAGAATAAAGAAAGAGAATCCAAACACTTCGTAATTGCTAAACTAGCCATGTAAAATTGATGGCTATTATCTCTTTATTAGGGAAAGTATCAGATGAATTAATTAGAACTTGGAATTGCATCAGAGCAGGACATCCTACACTTGTCATTGGATTCGAGTTGCATTTTGGATTGCTCAGTAGCTCTAAAAGATTTTGAGTTGAAACCTTTTTGTCGGATCTGGTCAATTACCAAAGTGGACAGAGAAGTGTTGACCAACTCTGGAGTACTCCAAGAACAGGACAATCTCTATAAATAAGATAGTAGCAATTAGTACATACTCGATAGAAATTTATAGAAGCCATCCACAAGAATCAGCATGTTTCAGTTTGTAGTCGTGGATGATGGAGAAAGGTGACGATGGATTAATGCTCTGGTTTTCCTCCAACTAGTTCACAAGCTTGTACAGATGATAAGCAAGCAACCCATCGAGAACTGTTCATGGAGAAGCAGAGTTGAGCACGTTGATGAGCGCCAAGGCATTGCTGGTGAGCTGCGCGATGTTCACGATCTGCCTCCTGATGGCCACCTTCACCACCCCGCCCATGCCGCGGCCGCCGCCGATCCCGTCCATGCACGTGTCCTCGTCCGTCAGCGCTGCGCTCACCCACGTCTGGATGTCGTCCAACCGCAGCCCCACAACTGCCTCGCCCTTCCCCTTGGGGTTCCCCATCGCCTCCAGCGACCTCTGGAGCTCGTCCACCGAGTCTCCCGTGGTGGTCATGCAGTCCCTGACCGCTGCTGCCTCGCTCGGCGCCAGGGTCCCTTCGGCCGCCAGCTTCGACACAGCCGCAGCTGCGGACCGCGCCCCTGACAGGCTCACCGAAAGGGCGGAGCGGGCGAGCTCCATGTGACTGTCCCGGATGACGTTGGCGTAGGGGGAGAGCGAGTCGACGCAGACGCGCCGGAACATGGTTGCTTGGCAGGAGCTGACGATGAAGTCCGCGTGGATCCTTGTAGCGTCGGTGAAGCATGAAGAAATGCAGAACCCAAAGACGATGAGAAGGATAACGAGAGTAGCTGAAGCAGCACTATTCCACCGGCGACCTCCCATCATAGATCTGCCTGCTGTTGTGATTCTTGTGACTGCTCTTATAGGAAGAACTCTGCAGCGAGCAATGGGATTGCTTCCATGAACGCAATGAAGGCATGGAGGCCGACATTACACGCACTGCGAGCTGCTTTCCTCTCTGCGCTACCGACATCAGTCCGTCCACACTACATTATTTGGGGAAGCTCCATGTGATAGGCAGAGAGCGTGGTGACCCACACTGGGACCACCACTGGCCCGTCTGATCCACCAATCATCACTTGCGAGCAAAAAGAGCCACGGGATCAATGATGGCAGATCTGACATGGGGTCTGCGAAGCTGTTTCAAGCGCTCACACATGCAGATGAAGACGACGCTGGTTTCAAGATGAGGATTTCAATTAGTTTTCCAACTTCCTTCCCCGAGCTTGACTCATGTCAATGAGGACCTGAGCTGGCTTCACGTGAGGCTTGTCGATCTACGAGGCGCTGCACTCTGCTGGCCCTTTCAGACTGTAGAAAGAGGCAACCGAGACGAAGGCTGGGGTTTGATCTCTGTATCTTGTTCTGCGTTGTGCGGCTTGAACTCTCTCTCACACAAACCTTACAAAGGAGACAACAAAGAGACTGTTTGTGATCTACTGAGTAAAACATATATTATGGCGTGATGGGAGGATCGTACGAGCAGCATCGACCATTGGTTGACCGCACGGATCTATGCGTGGCTGCTCAGCGGCGCCAGTGCTTCAAGCTGAGGTCTGGAGACTATAGTCTTCCTAATGTTTGACTAACGGAATTAGTGACGACTACTCTAAGACTTTAAAGTAATGGAAGAGTCATCCCCTGCCTACCACAGGGCTTATCGGACCAAATACTTGGATACGATCTCCACAAAGCCTCTTGAGTAATCTCCCATCTAACTTGAGAAGGAAATTCCTCACTGGAATTTTCATGTCCTTCATGTGGAGTCAGTCAACTTGTGATTAGGTGGTGTTCAACTCGTGATTTTGAGATGGTAGATGCTGTGTACACAATGCAAGATAGCTTTTTTGTTCAGCTGGATGAAAAGGTCAGAGGAGAAGAAGAAATCTTTGATGGAGATTACAGAAAACATGCTACGAAGAAGAAATCTTTGATGGAGATCACAGAAAACATGCTACAGTCAAGTATTCTCTCCTTCTCTATCTCTGTCTCTCTCTCTCTCTTTTTAAATTGCTTCTGTTTTTGGGCTTTGTGCAAGAAAAAGGACATGTTTGTCCGTGTAAGCTGACATCCTTGACGACGGTGGAAGCAGAAGCCTGCTTACAGCAGTTGGAACCTTCCCGTTTGTCACTTTTTGTTTCTCGAGTGCCTCGGCCTCAGCTTAGAACCTAAGCAGTCACCCACTCGAGCCCAGTGGAGAAGCATCGGATGGTGGCTAACCTGCATGCAGGAAGAACATATTCCCTTAGCAATGAGAACCTAACAACAAAAAGTCAAAGTAGCAGGCGATGGGGATCAGAGAACTTGCATGCTCTTTTGAGAAAAGAAAGGAAGACTACAACAAGGGCCAGCCCTGCCAAGATGCCCACTATTATTGCGACAATTCTTCCAATGTCATCATCACCATCTGTGTAATCTGCCCACCCACAAGCATGGCATTTAGTGCATATCATGTTCTTGAAGAGTCATGCTATTCTAACCGTGTGAAATGAGAAGGAAGCCATCACAAAGGAGTGAGATTCTTAAAGAACAGAGACATCGAGCTAGTAAATGAACACCAATTTTTGTGTCAAACAAGCGGCCACATGTCCATCCTCAGGCACCAGAAAACATATGAACAGGCTTCTAAGCTTCTAGTGAGATCGAAAACACTCCAAAAATCCATACTGTTAATGTGTTATCTACTGTAAAATAAACTGCAAGTTCATCACCACGTAAACAAGGAAATCAAACAGTAGAGAGATGAGCCACAAACCTGCAGAGGTGTGGAAGTAATGGCCGGAAGCCCAGTACCTGGCATAGCACTGAGCCAAGTAGACGTCCGCCGCGAGCGCCGACCCACACGCATTCTTAAGCTGCCCCACCGCCTGCGACAGGCAGGCCGAGCAGTCCGCCCCGTTCAGGTCGCCCAAGCACTGCACGACGCCCTGCACTGTGCCGGAGCTGCTGACCCGGAAGCTCACCCCGTTCTGCAGGTCGGCCAGCACGTCGTCCCGCCGCTGGAAGAAGGCCTCGTCGCCGCTCGTGACCGTGCTGCACTTGCGGTACACCATGGTGGTGTCGGGCTTGCCGAGGAAGTCCTCGTTGCTGTACCGCACGAAGCAGCCGTCCAGCTGAAGCGAGGCCGCGAAGGAGCCGGGGCAGACCAGGCCGAGCTGGCTGACAGCACTCTGCACGCAGGCGGAGCAGTCGCCGGCGCTCAGGTCGTTCCGGCACTGGTAGAGGCCGTAAGCGGCCATGCCGGGGGGCGAGCCGGAGTCGTCGCCGGAGGTGTAGCTGTTGTAGGATGCCAGCGACGCCCCGGAGACGAGGGAGGTGAGGAGGGAGTTGAGGTGGTTCTGGAAGGCGGTGATGGGATCGTACTTGTTGGGCGAGCAGCCGGCGTAGATGAAGGAGGCAGCTTCGGCGGATTGCTTGGTGGTGCAAGCCAAGAGGAGGAGAGTCCAGTAGAGGAGGAGGCAGGGCATGCGGAGCTTCATGAGGAACATGTTGCTCTCTAAGCTTTGTGTAGAAGTAGCAGAATGGAGCTGTTGCCTTGGTATTCTTCTTGTCTAGGGAATCACAGCATGGATGGGTGGGACGTGCTTCTCAATCCTTGTTGCTCCTTAGCAGTGATCCAACATCTACCACAAGTTAATGGGTTCCCCGAGCTAAATTATAATGGCCGAATGAGCCTAATTATTAGATCTGAGATGAACCATCTTTGTCAGAGATTTGTGGAACACAACTCTCTCCTGTGCAAAGCCTCTGTGGCCATCTTCTTGCCACCAGCAGCAGATGCTGCATGCCGATGACACAAGAAAGCGTCGCTCTCCGTCGATGGCAACGTTGAGGAACACAACAGGACTCAGCTTTACAAAACCAGGATGATCATGGCAGTGGCCAAAGAAAGCTCCAGAGAGAACAAAGTTACAGGAGAGAAGATTAGAGCCCATACATTTCAAATCCAGCCCAAAGATCGAACTTGGGAAAGGTTTCACCTTAAGAAACCAAGTATTGGCCCTACGGAGTCCATATTATTTGGGCACAAGCTTGGCAAGCTTCTACATGAAATTTTACTGGTGATGTTAGGAAATCAAAGTAAGAACCATCCCGGCTTCTACATGAAATCTAATCTAAGAACCATCACCAGTAAGAATCAAAACAATCAAAGAATAAGCTCAATCGATTCTCACAAAGAGATTAGGAATAGAAAAACAAAGTATGATGTTAATTCTGACAACCAATTTACTAACCAGTGAGAAATAATCCTTGATAAAGGTATTGAAGATTAGGTGCTGCATGATAATTGGTGTCCTAACAAGAAGAAGACAGCAACTACAAATGGCTTTGCCAAAACCATGTGCACCACATAAAAGATACCAGTTAGATTGACTTCCAAGAACTCTTGCAAGGTTCTAATTATTATTTTAAGATAAATATCATAATTATCAGAGTCAAATTTCTCGACAATCGACTCGGTCAAATTTTGGGTCACTAATCTAATGATCTGATTTTTAATTTTTCCGATTCAATAATTAAATCGTACCAATAACTAAGGTAAATACTCACAAGGATCCAACCCGAGCGTCAGAAAGAAACCAAATGAGACTGATGACTTTATGTGGTCTCAATGTTGTTTGTGATGTACAAAGAGAAAACGCTTAGCAGCAAAAAGGGACATAAGGTTACACTAAGGTGGTGAGATGCATGCATATGGGCGAGAGAGAGAAGATGGGGGCGTGACCCAATTATGAGCATGTCAGGTTGTAGAAGTTGACACTGTTCATGCCGATAAGTGACGTAAGGAGGATCTTTAGGCTGTACTGGGCAGCATGCGAGTGTAAGAAACTATAGACCAAAAGGACACGCATATTTCCCTTTCAACTCCTTGTACGTGCCTACCTTTTCATCTTCTTCCTCTTCGCTTTGGTTTGGTGGGTTGCACTGTGTTGTCTGAATCCATTTCAAGTTGGGTGTGCCAATTTAAAGACTGGTGATTGTGCATGCAGTCAACATAAATGTATACATACGCACACATTTAATATGTTGTTAAGATCATGGGGCTAAATCCTCGTTATGGCCTCCATGCAAAAGCCACAGCTAATTGTCCCACTTAAAGAGACGGGTTGAAGAACTCCAAAGAAGAGTTGGTTGTGGTATCATCTCCTCCTTGCACCTCCGGCGGAGACGGATACATTGGATCCAAACCAAACGCCGAACAGACCTTATGATGCTCGAGACAATCTGTCTCTGTCATCTACACATTTGCTTTCAACCGCTCTCCTTTTTCTCGTCCGGCGCGCCTCAGACTCATCCAACGCTTACTACTCACTTCTTATAGAGCTTGCTTTTCTCTACCCCCCCTCAGAGAGAGAGAGAGAGAGTTTTGCTTCTTGGGGCGGAGGAGATGGCGGTTTGCGAGGACAAGGAACAGGACCCGCGTATTCGACGCATAGCCTCGTCCATCCGCGTGGTGCCGGACTTCCCCAAGAAAGGTTGCGCCTTTCCCTGCAAGTTTGCATTTTTACGCTGCCGTAGGCTCATACCAGCCCTGTGCTCTCTTCGATCTTTTTGTGTCACCACATGGCTTTCGTTCCTTCTTTTCCACCCATTAAAAAATCGGTTCTTTTTCCTGTATATCTCTGCTGTCGAGAGAACGCGATCGTGCACTTTCCTGTTTGTCCCTGCTTTCTTGTACTTGATAAAGGTTGGATTTTGATGCCAATTGTTAGTTTATCATCGTAAAAGAATTTGTTCTTTTGATGCCCATGCATGCTTCCATCAGCTATGCCGCTGCTCAAAAATCCAATGTCAACTGATGGGTGCAGGGATCATGTTTCAAGACATCACGACACTGCTGCTGGATCCGAAGGCGTTCAAGGACACGGCGGACTTGTTCGTGGAGCGGTACACGGGGAAGGGCATCTCCGTCGTCGCCGGTAAATTTCTCGACCACCTCGTCTTCGGTAGCTCCGCCATGTCTGCGCTATCTTCCTCTCTCTTCTGTGATGCATCGATCTCTGTTCGTCTCCCTTCCTCCCATTAATGCTTGTCGCCCATCAGTGTCGTGGGACATGTCGGCTGTGGGTCCTCCTTTCTTTAGACTTTTCCTCCATTGGAGGATGAGAATAGATTGACAAGCGGAGCCTCGTCTTCCCTTTCATCATTGCCATTACAGAAATCTTCTCAATCCTTTTTGGCCTCTCGAGAGCCTTTTCTGCAGTGGTAGGGGCGCCTACCTTGACCGCATTGCCACACCGTCGCAATTGGCCATGCTATCATGCACCAGACTCTGAGTTGCGGTCTCCCTCCCTCTCTCTTGCTCCTGGTTTCTCCATTCTCGCATCTGTTCTTGTGGCGGTGGCGTTGGGCCGGTCGACACTGACATTGCTCCCCGGTCCCCACTGCGATGTGAATTGGTGAAAGCTTTGCCACTGTTCGATGGGCCTCGATATTCTATTTTTCTGTTGCCCGTGCCTTTCCTAAGCTGCTTAGATTTGGTAGGTATTATTGCTGTTGAAGAGTGGAACAGCGACAAAGGACTAGTGCTGCATCTATTTTGTTTGAAATCGCAGTCCATGGGGGGGTGGAAACAGTGACACTTTCCTTCTTTCAGATGATAAAGCATTGATGATCCTTTCACAGTATAATGGTCCTTGACTGTCACTTTTGACCTGACTTTATTGGTGCATGGTGGGATCTTTGAACACTTTGTTTAAGAAGGGTGAAAAAAGATAAATAGTGAACCAAAAATAAACAAAGAGAGGAACTGCTATGAGTCAATGACCATGACATCTTTTCACTTGTTCAATGGAAAGGAAGGTCACATAGTGACTGATGAGCTGCAGCAGCCATCTCATCTTTCTTCCCAAGAGTACAGAGTTCTCATGTCAGATGACCTCAGTTTCTCATCATTAATTTTTCTAAATAAATAAAGAAGGAAAGAAAGAAAGTGACTGCTATTAGCTGATGACATCATATCTAATATGTTCAGCTTTAGTGGTTTGCTTTAGCTACTTATGGTTCCAATTTTCTGTAATATTTTCATTTGTTTTGTAGCACCACATATCATTTATTCCTATGTTCTATTTGGTGAACAGTCAAGAATTGTATGAAATGAGATGGAGGTTGACTCTAGCAGCACAGTATTCTAACTAAATACCATTCGTCATTAAATGTAAATAGTCGATCCAAGAGTTAACAAATTTTAGTTCAAATTATTAGTGTATGGATATTTTGTTGGTTCTGTAGTGCTTTATGCCTTAACATATTGTGTTTTTCCATTTTATGCTGCCGCAGATACAATTTTCGATAAGCTTTTACGGCGTCTATCTTATTTCTTTTTTTTGTTTAATTCTTGCACAACGATGACCGGTGAATCATGTAGCAACTGATTTTGGACTTCTTATAGAGGATATTAATGTAAGAGTTAATTCATTTTACTTTTGACATGTGTGTATTTGAAAATCTCACAGTAGATTGATTTCATTGTCCCTAAATTCCTTGTTGTGTACTTTATGTGACAAGCACACAAGTTTCAGTTAATGTTCTACCATCCGCATGCAGCCTCCCTCAGACAAGTGGCAATTGAGCTTTTCTAAGGGCACAGATCAGGTTTTGATACATTCATATATATAACATGATGTCCATATATCAAGGTGTTAATTTTACCTTTCAGCATGTCTCAAGCTTACCAAACTAACATCTGCGTCTTGTTAAAGTCTGTGGCAAATTTTTCTTTCTGATGTAGTGCAAGAATGTAAAGACTCCATCAGCTGACCTATAATTTTCCTGTCTGGAGAAATAAGTATATCTCTTGTGGGTGAAGCAAATTTTGTTGCTAGTTTGACAATTATCTTCTTGGCCCTTGTTCATATCATGTCTTGTTAGTAATAGAGCTATGGTTCAGCCAGATTTTAACAATCCTGACTACAAATTTATGGTTTAGCTCTGCTTCCACCGTGTTACTTTGCTCGATCCTAATATTGTAAAATAGATTGCAACATCTTTTTTTTTATTTTTCTATAATTCTCTAGGTGAACCTTTCAGTTAAAATCTAGGGATATGTTTTTTCTTTCACTACCATTGCACCTCATGTCTTTGCTAATTAATCTATATTTGTTGGAGAGATTATTTGATTGCATATCTCTAAACCTTGGTAGAAAAGGGGAGATGGCACCAGTTTGCCAAAATAATTTGCAAGAGAAAGTTCTTTTACCATTGATACATAAGAAATTTCTTTAGGTTCCTTACCACATGTTACGAGAAAATTAGAAAGTGAGAACTGTGGTCATGAAGAGGATTTGTGAATGGATTTCTGCAACTTTTTTTTTATCAAACTAAAGTTTTTAATTGTTTTTATCCATGATGATAGGAGTCGAGGCTCGAGGCTTCATATTTGGTCCTCCTATTGCATTGGCAATTGGTGCAAAGTTTATTCCACTAAGAAAACCAAGAAAATTGCCAGGTACTTTCGAATTTATTAGCAAACAAAAATTTCACTTTACATATATTGCTTCCAGTTGAAATAACAGAGTTAGAAGCATCTGCAAAGCAAGTGCATGCATGGCCACTTGTAAAATCCTATTCAGGAAAATGCTTCTGTTTATATATGTTGAATCCAAGTCTTCATTCATTCATCACTAATCTCTGTTCACCTAGTTGAATTTGAAATGAGAGAATATGATGAACATGATTTACAGTTGTGGCTGAAAATTCTTCACAGCTCTTGGTTCTAATATCTAGGATCTCTCAGTGGGCTACTTTCCTTTGGTTAGGAGGAAATGCAAATCAATTTAATAAATTATGCTTTGAGAGTCACCTAACCAAAGCTATTTTCACTATCCACCTATTTTCTTATGGTTCGATTCAGTTTGGCAATTTCAAGTGAATCGTGAATGGCCCTACTTTATCAAATACTATATTTCCTGGAAACAATTTAGCATACCTAAGAAACATCCTCGCATTACGTTGCACTTACACCTTTCTTTATATGGTTGAATACTGATTTTTGGGTAACAGCCAGAAGCTTATTTTACTCATAAAGTATTTGTGATGGGGTATCATCTAGCTTTACAAACGATTTCATAAATTTTTATTCTAGGCAAAGAAATCAACACAAACTCATCAATTAGTTAGCCTAGAAATTCTAAGTGTCATGTTGAAAACTAAGAAGTCTTTTGATTATTTTAGAGAAACCTTTTGTATTAAGTGCACTCATTAATTATTTAAATATCCTAGAAGTCACATTTTGGATTTCTAAAAGACCTACTAATTCCCTAAGAGATTACTCTTGAAAATCATTACCTTCATTTATTGTGCTGATGCTTGTCAATGAATAGTGGAGCTTCTCAATGAATCAAACACATTAAATTTGAATGAAAAGAATTGCATCTTCATTCTTCTTGTCTCTTACTCTCATCTCTTATCTCACACTACTCATTCCTTCTCTTCCTCTCCCTTTCTCTCTACTTCCCTATTCTGTTCTATATTAGTTTGGTATCATAGCCCATCAAGAAACCTACCCTGTAACCTATTGGATTCCAACTAGCAGCAAAAGCTTCAATCAATACCCAAGGATCCTTACACCTCCAACATCAACCCCTTGCATGTGGAGTTAGACTTTGTGGTGACTGTCTCTGTGGAATTGGTGAACCACTTAGCTCTCAGTTCTAAGTAAATTTTTGAAAACTTTACTAACGTTTTTGTTAGAAAGAAAATTCATATTTTTCATTAGATCATAGTTTTCATCACTTCTACCCCTATTTTCTTCTTCTTCTTTTTTTCTCTATTTATCACCCTCTTTCTCCCCTTTAGCTACAATTATAGTATCACTAAAATTTGAACCCTTTAATGTTGTAAAAAAAAAACATAAAGTGAGAAAAAAAAAGTGATAGAACTATTTGAAACATTGTATTTCTACCTTGTGCATATTAATAATTTAACAACCTCATTACCAAAAGACAATTTGTCGATAGCTATAACATCATAACTAGGCAAGGTAAGAACCAAACCAATCCTGATAAACCACCGAATCAAAAGAGTGAGGTAGACACCCTTAGGACTAAACTAGTAGATCATAACACAATGTTGAAGTAGTTATATAACCAAATGAGCTAAGTCCTAAGAGCTCTCCAACACCTAGAAAAATGACTAATGAATGAGGAGATTGATGAGTCGATTAGGCAATATGTCCATTCTCCATAATCCATCATTTCAAATCAAGAAATTTTATATACTTCCTAAGCCCCAATTTGAACAAAACCTAGGTCCACCTATAGGACATATATTCACAATCATGCTCCAAAAATTTTTGATGATCAAGCTTTTGACCTTAATAATGAATTCCTTGAACCTACTAAAAATCCACAAATCCAAATAATGGGCCTATGAGTTTGGCTTGTTAACAATCTAAGGGAAATGGTTGGAAGAGTCAAAATGGATGTGCCAGACTTTGATGGTAGGTTTGACCCAAATATGTTTGTTGACTAGTTAGATGGCATGGAAGACTACTTTGAGTGGTACAGAATGATTGATATTGTATGTATACGATTTATAAAAATAAAATTGGTAAGGTCCATTAGAAAATATTAGCAACATGTCCAAGGTCTCTCGAACACTGTTGAGAGCTTCGAATTACTCAATGGGAAGTCATGAAACAAGAACTTCAAGAAAAATACTTACCAACCTACATTTGAAACTAACTAGTTGAGTAATTGTCAAACCTTAAATTGTTAAATTCTAGTGTGGTAGAGTATTTGGCTTGATTTGAGGAATTTTTACTTGGGTGTGAAATAAAATAAGACCAAATCATCACTATCTTAAGATTAATTAATGGGTTGAGGTTTAACATCTAATAGGAATTCCCCCTTAGTTTCCCAATACAATGGAGGAAGCTTCCCGACGAGCCCATGAGATTAAGAAGTATACTAAACTTTATCTAATTCATTAAATATCTTCTTAGTCTCTCGATAATAGAACTATTTTCCAATCTACCCCAAGTAGTGGCTTTGTTAAGTCAAAAACCCCCACTACTAGCAACAATCTTGATCCAACCATGAATCGTCCAACTCGTTTAACCACTGATCCTCAGACTAATTCATCTTCAATCCAATGTCATTATTGATATAATAGATGTCATAGTGTCTCTTGTTATCCTCAACATACCCTTACCTTAAAACACGAACTAGAGGATCAAATTGATATAGTAGACCAAGTAGTTGAACGGATCAAATTGATGTCGTATACCAAGTAGTTCAACCCGAAGCCTACTTAAGTGATGAAAATGAACTAGAAATTGAAGATGACCATATTAATGTTGTCTGCATTATTCTCTCTACTGCTAATGATTCCAATGAATAGCAGAGGACAAGTATCTTCCATACTTTTATCCGAAGCGGGGAAAGAACTTATAAATTGATTATTGAAGGGGGTAGCACTATGAACGAAGTCTAAAAATCTACTATCATGAGACTAAACCTTAAGGTAGAGTTATATTTGACCCCATTCAAAGTAGCTTGGGTTGAAAAAACTACTCTACCCGTGACCGATGCCTAGTACAAATCAAAATGAGTGATTACCAGGATGAGATTTATTTTGACATCCTGCTAATGGACATTGTCCACATTCTTTTAGGTAGGCTTTAGTTGTATGACCTTGATGTTACCAATCATGAAAGAAAAAACACCAATGTTTTTTGATACAAAAGAAAAAACATCATCTTGCAACCAGCAAAACCATCAATAAATGATAAATCATTAACTCCCAAGTCTCTTCCATAAGCCTTAACCACTAAGGGACTCCACTTACTGGATCCTAAATCTTTTGAAATAGAAAGCCTATATAACAAATTTTATGTGGCCATCATTGCTAAAGAAATTCCTAGCATTTGCACTATTCTTGATCCAACTCTTGAGGTTAAATTCTTATTAGATGAATTTTCTGATGTCATGCCACCAGAATTACCTAGTGAGTTGCTACTCTTACGAGAAATCTAACATGCCATTGATCTTGTCTTAGGATCATAGCTCATTAATCCCCCACATTATAAAATAAATTATAAGGAGAGAGCTAAGTTAAATAAGCAAGTTAAAGAACTTTTGGCTAAAGGCTTTATATGATACAGTCCCAGTTTTTGCATTGTCCTTACTTTATTGACAGCATCTTGATCTTTAGTAAGACCAAAGAGAATCATTTAGAATATCTTCGACAAGATTTACTACCCTTTGAGTTACAAAGCTCTATGACAATCTAAAAAAGTATTAGTTCATGCAAACCCATGTCCTATTCTTAGGCTTCATCATTTCTGCCCAAGGTGTTACTCCTAATCCAAAAAAGATCTGGATTATTTTAGAATGGCCTTAGCCTAAAACCCTTTTTGAGGTTCAAAGTTTTCTTGGATTAGTCTCTTTCTATAGGAGATTCATTAGAGGAATTAGTTCTATCATGACACCAATTATTGATTGCTTAATAAAAGGTGAGTTTTCTTGGACCTTAGCCACTACAAAAGCCTTTGGTAACATCAAAACGAGAATGACCATTGCTCCTATTCTTAGGCACCTTGACTTTAGTAAACCTTTTGAGGTCACTTGTGATACCTAGTATAGGCATAGGAGAAATTTTAAGTCAAGAGGGTCAACCTATTGTCTTTTTTAGTGAGAAACTCAATGATGCAAAATAACATTATTTTACCTATGACAAAAAATTCTACCTGATTATGCAATATCTTAAGTATTGAAAATATTAGCTTCTACGCAAAAGTTTGTCTTAACTTATCACCGGGTTCTAAGATACTTAAATGCCCAAAATAAGTTAAATGCCCAATATAAGAAGTGAGTTGAGTTTCTCAACAAATACTCTTTTGAAATTAAGTATTGTTTAGGCACTCAAAACAAAGTTGCTAGTGACCTTAGTCGAATTTCTACAATCCTATCAACCATGAGTGTTAAACTCATAGGACTCAAGTGATTAAAAGAAGAGTATATCCAATATCCAGACTTTAGTTACATCTATCGAGAAGTTTAGGATGGAAACCATCGTGAACATATAGACTTCATTCTTAGGGATGGTTACCTTTTTCAATCTATTAGATTGTGTGTTCCCCAATCCTCCTTTTGAGACTTCCTTATTTGAGAAATGCACATGGGTGAATTAGCAGGTCACCTAGGCTGAGACAAAACCATTGCATTAGTTAAGAGTAGATTTTACTTGCCGTCTTTAAAGCGAGATGTTGCCTAAATGGTGTCACAGTGTCAAACTTATCAAATTGCCAAAACTTGTAAACATAATATTGGCCTCAACACCCTATTACCCATTCCACATTTACTATGGCAAGATGTGAATTTAGATTTTATCCTTGGACTTCCCAAAACATTATATGGCCATGACTCTGTTTTGGTTGTTGCTAATCAATTTTAAAAAATGATCCACTTTATCCTATGTAACGAGACCTACAACACCTCACATATTGCTAAATTATTCTTTCGATAAGTGGTTAAATTATATGACTTGCCTTCAACCATGGTGTCCGATAGGGATGTAAAATTTGTTAGATACTTTTGAAAAACTTTATAGAAACTATTTGACACAACATTGAAGTTCTCTTCAGCCTTTCACCCCTAGACCAACAATTAAACTGAAGTTGTTAAATGTTTCTTGAAAAATATTCTTAGATGTTTAGTTGGGGAGAAATCGAGAAACTAGGACTTCACCTTACCCACGACAAAGTTTGCATACAATAACTTAATCAACCGCTTGACCAAAAAAAGCCCATTCGAAGTTGTCCTCGACTATACTCCTTATATATCGATTGACCATACTCCTCTTCCACTTAATTATCATGCCTTAGAATTAGCTCACTCCTTCGCTCAACATATTCATGATTTACATGTTAAGATTTGACGTAAATTATCCTAAGCAATGAAAGTTATAAACCTATTTCTAATGCATATAGTATAAGTTAAGAGTCTTCAGTTGGTGATTATGTCTTGGTTCTTGCACCTATTGAGAGATTCCCTAAAAATTTATTCAAAAAATTGCATGCTCGAGCCATTAGTCATTTCCTTGTTATCCAAAAATTAGGATCTAATATATATATGCTCAATTTACCTTTCGACTTAAATATTAATCTAGTTTTCAATGTGGAGAATTTAACAACATATCATGGTACTTTTGAGCCTCCTCTATTTATCGGCGTTCCTGCAAGTGACAATCCTCTCAAAGCATTGATTCTCCTATTAACACAGGTGATAGGGCATATTTTGGCACTGCCCTTACAATGATAGCTAGCAACCACGTTAGAACTGACGTGGAGTTTCAGAGCCAACAAGACATCTCGAAGCCGACGTGTTGCATGTGTGCTGATGTGGCACCTCGGGCCCGCAAGAGATCGCGTCCATGCTCGTGCTGCTCGGGGTCGCACGAGACGGCCCCCGTACAATGCAAAACCACCCGAGAATCAACAAAGCGGCATGGTGCGGTACAGAGCTATGTAGGACAGTCCGCGCCGTGCAGAGTGTACGGGCCGATCGCCTCGAGTCTCGGCGGCCATTAACAGACCGCGTACGGTCGACCTACGGCCATTGGTATAAAGGTCGACCCCCTGGCCAACGCCAAGGGATCAGACCTCGGACACTAAAAACGTCCTCAACTCCTCGTACTAACTTAAGCTTCGGAGGGGTTGAGTTGGGAATCTCTCTCCCAACTTTGGCCTGTGTGTAAGAATCCATCGTGGAAGAGCCCAACATGGAAGAATTGACCCCCTACTCTACCTCGGGTCGTCCCAGCGGATGACATTTTAACCCGACCTGGCACCGACCCTCTCACCTCAAGAAACCACGTGGACGACCTTGTGTTCTCGGGATTGAACCAAGTTGTGCTGACTCCTCGACCATGGCGTGAAGTTGCACAACAACATGGATGACGTAGAGGTCATTCTTGATTACCGCTTTGTTATGTCTGCTACTAGCATTATTCAACACTTTCTTGTCAAGCAGCATGATCGTCCAACTTCCACTACCACTTGGATTACTTTGGAGAAACTTTATGACTTTGCACTAAACTTATTGGACCAATACTTTATATATTACTCTTCAGGGACAAGTTCTTTTCCATCAGTAAAAAATGATAGAGAACCATCTAGCTTTACAAAAGGATGTCAAAAATGTTTATTCAAGACAAAAAAAAATCAACAAAAAGTCAACAATTAGTTGGTCTAGAAATTCTAAAAGTTGTGTTGAAAATTAAAAAGTTTTTTAGTCTTTCTAAGTTTCTATATCAATTTGTCTACTGCATATGGTAACTAGAGTAGTAATTATTTATGTTGAATTGCTCACAAGACTAACAGGAACTAGTGTGAATTAGATCGTGCTGTAAAAATATTTCATGATTCGATGGTTCTTGGCATCTGTTATTTGTGCTGTAAATAGCCTCTTAGGTAGCTTGCTATAAGTAGTTCTAGTAGTAAAGGTTAATGGATAACGATGCTTCTTTTAAACATAATAGTCTATTCTTAGCATATCCTATTGACACAATGGATTTTCTTGTATCAACTAATTAAAGTAACCCCTGGATATCACCTTGCAGTATGAAAAATCAATTATACTAAGAAATCCATATGCTTGATGACCCACTAAATTAATTGTCACATTTAATATTAATAAAAATGGTGATCATTGTAGAGCTTCAAAGTGTGATTTTCCTAACTTGCGGAAATTATGTCATCAACGTTTTCCAGATAAGTGGTGATTGCCATTCATATCACATAAGTATAGGTTTGAAGGTGAATTCTAGCATAAAATTTGTATACTTTTATGATGAATACTTTTGGGACTGCTTTCATTTCTTCTGTTAACATAATGGTTGAAGTTTCTTCATGGACTTTTGCAAATGAACTTCTTACTAAATTCCTGGATTCTTCTGCAATGTATAGGTGAAGTGATTTCAGAGAACTATGTACTGGAGTATGGAACCGATTGCCTCCAAATGCATGTTGGTGCAGTCCAACCTGGTGAACGTGCTCTGGTAGTTGATGATCTGATTGCAACTGGCGGAACTCTTTGTGCTGCCATCAGTTTACTTGGTAGGTGTGGAATGTTCATATGGCTTAAATTTGTGCTTGGTTGATGAGCTTATGAACAAACATTAAAGCACATTTTGTGCATGTCGTTGACAAGTAAATTTTTTTGAACCTCACAGATTTAGTAGGTGCGACTCTTTCTTGATGCAGCCAACATAAATCAAACATTTCGAGACCTTTACTTGTTACTACTTAAGCATGTCACAGAGTAGCACATTACTTGACTAACAAGTTAGGTGAACATAGGGCAATCAAGACAGGATTTCTAGTTGTTCTGTTGTATTGGAATGAATATGTACTGGGCATAAGTAGAGATATAGACATATGAACTGAAGGAAGTAATCAAACATGGGGAACATGATGGCTACTTTCTCTATGTTTTGATGGAAGATAAATAGCATGCATTCATCATACACTGAAGATACTTTGACTTTCATGCTATAGTAGCTTTGTCACTAGAGAATCTTCTAATCAGGATTGTATCAGACATTTTCTATTATGTTGCTACGTCGAATTCAGAGCACCATGATAAGTTGGACCTGATGTATCAAGAATTCTAGATAGAATTTATCTTACCTAGCTGCCAGTTGTGTCCATTTTATATCTGCTGTAGATAAATCATTATTTTTCGCTGCTCATTGTTAGCTCTCTCTCACTTCAGTTAGCTATCTGCTAATGAGTAATCTTTTATGTTCTTACTTCAGAGCGTGCCGGAGCTGAAGTCGTCGAATGTGCATGTGTAATTGAACTTCCAGAACTCAAGGTGTGTTCTTTTTGCTATTCCTGTTCTAATATACTTTCAGATCAGCTGTTCTCTGATAAACTATGATAAATTTTACTGCAAACATTTGAATATGCCGTTTTCTTCTCGTAGTTGGTTTATGTCTCCTGATTTATCTTAGTAAAAAAGAAAATGAAATTATTAATGGTGAGATCTATGGGATTGATTTATAATTTGTAATGCAATACGCAGGGCCGCGAGAAGTTAAATGGTAAACCATTATACATTCTCATGGAGTCCCACTGATGTTACCATTCTCTTGCTGATGGGAGTTCTCGATACTGTTTATTGGATGATTTCATTCCAATTCTCATAGATGAAGCTGAACTCCTCCTTTGTGTAGCAGTACAATTTTATTGGTTTACTGTGATCTGCTCTCTTATATCACTTCTAGTTTAGAATTCTCAGTTCATGCAATTGAGACATTTGTTATTACAGAATGTTGCAATGCAATCAGTTCTGAATCGGCTGTTGACTTGAAGAACAAGATTAAATTCTTGAACTGATGCAACTGATCTTGAGAGCCCAATAACAAGATTAAATTCATCCTGTCTTTTTAGCTTCATCTATAATCATTTTGAATTAATTTGGTCAAACAAGTTTGACCAAATTAATAATAGGCTGAAATAATTCTTTCACACTGCCTTCCTTAACTCAAATAGTTTTTATTTTTTGCCAATAAAAAAGGGCCATTTTATGCCTTTTACATAACGATAATTTTTTTTATAAAAGAGAAAAATAACCTGTGAACCACACTCAATTGAAATTAGATATTTTCTAGATTAATTTCAATGATCGAATGTAATAGAGAATTTTCTTTTAAACCAACTCAAAACTCCATAGAATCACAACGACATGAATTTAAGATAATTAATATTTTTTTATTTTTAAAAAAATTATGATAATTAATTATCAAAATAGAGATTTTTTTTAAATAGGTTTTGTGATTGAATTTAACGTAGTTTAGTTTCGAATGTAACTTAATTAAGTAAGATTTTAGAATCGATTCATGCATTATGATTGGGCCCATAAGTTGTTTTTAACCATTCTTCCAAGTGAAAAAATAAAAATAAAAAGTATTGTTTTTTATTGGTAAAATGCCTTAAAATGTTAAAATTAATTATTTTTTATTTAGCTGGAATATGTTTTACTTTCCCAATATTCGTCCGCAGGTATGACGTGGCTTTACACATGGAGGTGACATGTGGGTCCATTGATGACGACGCAGGTATCACCCCGTCCGAACACCTCACATTACGTACATGCATGCCAGCACCCCATGTTACGTCCCCGACTGTCACGTCGGAACGAACATTCGATTACCAATAGCAAAGCAGGTAGGTGAATTGGTGAGATGAAAAGGGACGAGTAAAAATAAGTCTCCTCTTTCGCGTCTCAAAAGAGTAGATGGGTAATTTAGTCATTTTGGTTTAGATTAAATGTAGATTAAAACGGGTGTGATACGCGACTTCAACGGACAGGATTCTCTCCAAATACTGTATGCGCATTCCAAACAGTGTTTTAATCTTCGCCACTAGAATCCGATATCCACTCAATCGAACGATGGTGATCTGCTAATTGAAGGATTGCAAATATGGGGTAAGTTGGAGAGGATCCACTAAGCATTTCCGCGGATCATCTGCCGTTCGATCCGATCCATCCCCCCGACCTGACGATTCCGAATACACCCACGAGAACTCACTATTATTCGTCGTAGAAAAGATATCGTACCTCTCTGTCACCGTTCTTCTCGATTTCTTCCGTCTCTTGGAGTCCCGTTCTTTCCTTCGAGGTTAAGAAGAAGAAGAGAGGGCTCTGTCTTGTGCCATCATGATCGGAGGAGGGCTTCTCAAGATCCACCCCTCTGAGCTGAAATTGCCCTGTAAATCTTTTTGTTCTTTTCTTATAAGATCTGATTGGTTTTTCTTTTCTCTCGTCTCCAATTAATCGGAAATTGGATTCATCCACAGCCAAATGATTCGATCTTGATCGGGTTTTTGGTAGTAGTTTTTCTTGTGTTGTTCTCGTGATCTTGATGATCATCGGATTGGTTTTTTCGCTGAATGTATCGAGTTCATGATCCTAATGATGTTTGATTGTGTACGATCGTCGACGTGATTGTCTCGCGAAGTCGAGGTGAAAAAGCAGAGCTCTTGTTGCATGCAGTTGACCAACAAAACAGATCATTATGTAGCTTTTAAGGTATTTCTCATCTCATTCTTTCCTTGATTTACCTAACCCTCATTGCTCTGATTTGTGTTTTGTAGTTTGTGTTTTTAGGATAAATTTCTTTCCAGTTGCTTTCATTCAGAAGTTCCATTTTTGGAAAGACATTTTAGGACTAATTGTTTATGTGAGATGGGTTTCCTTGCAATTCTTAGGTTAAAACAACAAGCCCAAAGAAATATAGTGTGCGCCCAAACATGGGAGTTGTCCTGCCCAAGTCAACAATTAGCATAACAGGTGAAATCGTGTTAAATCTTTAATCTGATTGTTAGGTCACACTCCTCATTGTCAACTGAAGGTTAATTTTCTGTGGCAGTAACAATGCAAGCTCACAAGGAGGCTCCACCAGATTTGCAATGCAAAGACAAGTTCCTGGTTCAGAGTGTTGTTGCAGATGATGGTGCAACAACCAAGGACATAACTGCTGAAATGGTAGCCTGTTATAATGATCTTTATTTCCTTCTGAATCATCTGGATATCATGAAAGTTGATGAATCTATTATATCTTTAGTTCAATAAAGCACCTGGTAAAGATGTTGAGGAGTTCAAACTGCGGGTTGTTTATATTCCTGCTAATCCACCCTCACCAGTTCCTGAGGAATCAGAGGAAGGAATTTCCCCACGGTCATCTGTGTTAGAGAATGAAACTCAGAGTTCAACCTTGTTTGATGCTGTAAGATCATCCTCATCTCCAACTGGTCAATTTGGATATTGCATTTTCTCTGTTATCTCAATTATCTTCTAGGCTTGGACGTTACTAGTGCAAGTGGAAATAATTTCAGGTATCAAGATCCTTCAACGAAGCTTCTACAGAACAATCTCATGAGGTGAAGTTATATATCTTCTATTCTATTTGTGATTGATACTATTTTGGAAGTTATAACATAGAACCTGACATGTTTCACATAATAGAGAAAATAGTAATATTGTTTCTGTTGTATTGGATAAGATAAAAATAGTGGTGTCCTATAATATATATGCTGAAGCTTAAAAACCCTCAAAAAATCACCCAACTTAATTTTGGCAAGGAATCTGGCCAAAACAAATGTGCTCATGTACCTTCCTTAACAGTCTCAAAAAATTACATACATATACTCCTTTCTAAAAGAAGTTATAAAAACTGAATGTTGTGGATAATTTCGGGTTACTAACATATTCACAATCAAATGTTTGATTTGTTCGCAAGCACAGTTTGGCATTTGGTTTGTCCCAATAAACAAGCTAAGTTTGCTAGCTTCTACATTACCACTTGTCCTTATCATAGTGCTACATGTATTAAAAATGTGTACCAGGGTCGGTAAAAGATTTTAAACTATGGTATGGGAGAAATATTCAACAGGTATCAGTATCCATAAAGATGGGCACATCCAAAAATGTTCCACTTTACCTCATTATCAACTCGGTCACAAAGTTTTGAAACAATATGAAATTTGGTATTATTTACTAAATATTGAGTAATCTATTGGACTCCTATTCTGATCTGTTAAAGAAGATAAAATTTACACTTATGCCAATAATTTGAGGTTATTTCTTCTTTTTTCACTTTCTTGATTGGGAGTTTCATATTTTCTTTTCTTGACTGTGATACTTCTATTTTGCATTATCAGCTTATGCAACTCCCATGATCAACCAAAGTAACTTTAAATCTTTTTCCTAAAATAATGCATTATGATTTCTGCCCATTTAAATACGGGTGTACGTATATGGCATGGTTCCATAGGACTGGTGTTCTCATGTTCTTTTGTTCCGATGTTAAAACTGTATATTTTCTGTCTTCTTTCTGTCGTCTCAACTTGTATATCTGATTCTCTAGGAGGAACTGATTATTTCAAAGTTGACTGAAGAGAAGAATCATGCAATTCAGCAAAATAAGAAATTACGACAGGAGCTGGTATGCTTTTCCTGCTTATTTGATACAATATCTGCTTCTTCTTTTTTTCTTTTTTGGTGGAGAATATCTTTATCTTTGACATATATGAGACTCCAAAATCAGCATGCAAGTTATTTTCCTGTGTCATTGATCCAAATTTGGCATTGGCAGATCATAAATTGTTTATAAACATATGAATTGTTTATATATTTTATGGACTGCCAAAACAACAGTAAGTTTATAGACACAATGCTGTGGTCTCCCTTTTGGACATCCTTTCAACATTATGGTAGGCCTTTTCTTTGTTAGGAATATAAATGCATATATCATATTCCATTATCCTTTCAAGGTTTTTAGATGGAAATTCAACATGACTTTAGAGGTCTTTGGTTCAAGTCTCTATGTTGCTTTAATTTCTTACTCATTTAATATAAGTTCATATGTTGGCACTCTTGCCCTTTTGTAAGCCCACATTGTAAGGAACAATGTTAAGAAATATAAATAAACCATGTTCCTTTTTTCGGCTTAATCATGCTTGTAATCCTCTAAGCTTCCAACATATGAAAGAATACATTTTTATATGAATTAACAGGTGTTAAAAAATTAACAGTCTCGACATAGTGAGTTGATTAGTGAGAGATTCTACTCATACCAAAATTCTTAATTGGGTTCTTTATTGTTTTTCTCTTTGGTCACCCTCATCACGACAATTGTCGCTCATTGATAGTAACAATAGAGGCTGAAGAAAAGAGGGACCAAAGGGGATAGGCCAATCCTTCCAAGCTGCAATTACTGCTGTAGGTTATCGAAAAGAAAATTGGAATGTCATATAACTAGTTGGAGCATAGACAAATTGGAAATATCTTGGTAATTGTGCAAGCCAACCGAATGAACATAAAAGTGCCTGTAACAGAATGATACATGATGGATCATTTGAACGATAGCATTAAAATGGTCTGAGCTAGAGCCTTTTTATGTCAAAATATTGAACATATGGAATGTATTTAATGAGATGAAAAAAATAAGATTTGTACTTATAAATGGTTTGACACTACTGTATGGAGATGATGGGTTTGTCTTATGTTTTAAGACCTTTATTCATGATTAGAATACGAACCTTTACTTAAGCGGTTTCTGTTAAAATTTTCATTGCACAGTTACAATTTCTTTTGTGGTTCTTCCATGGTGAACCAAAATATTCATAAGATCCATGGTACATTGCTTGCTGCTTTATTTCTTATTCTCAATTACTGGAAAAAAGAGTTCCATCTTGATCATAAATTTAACTTGTGTCTTTTATCACCCAGGAACTGCTAAGTAAACAAAGCCGAAAAAGCAGTGGTGGCTTCTCTATTATGTTCATCGTGATTGTGGCTATTTTGGGTGTCATATTTGGGTATATTATCAAGGAAACATAAAAACACAAGTCAGATTACATCAAAAGCTTACATCGAGCATATGTCGTCTTCATGCCTTTAACAGAATGATTCTTTTTTTCCTTTGTAAGGACGAAGTATTGGTTTGTGTGAGTTTATTCATTTCATCAAAGAATAATCGTTTTTGCACATTAGTATATTATGTCTACATTTGCAGAAGCATTTTGGCATTTGATGCATTGCCCTACCACAGAGCACAGCACTCCGTGTGGAAAGCGATGAAATAAACAAAGAAAGAGGAAATAATACTTATGCTCTTGCTGTGAACTCCTTTAGTCCAATGTTAAGAGATGAGTGGGTGTTATTGTACCGACCACATGAATCATCGACCGCTAGCCTCCTCTCTTGGAAGTCGACGCGGCTGTGTTCAAAAAGTAGTTGGGGAGTCGATGCGCGCCGTTAACGGTTGAGCAGTCCCGTCTTTGGCGGCAAATGGCGCTCATGCTCGGCCATCCCTCCCACACACTGTGGTGCTGTCAACCTTGCCAACCATTCTTTTCTATTCCACAATTTATATAGCTTGGCTATTTAACCTAATCATCATCATCTTCATCATTAATAATGTGTTTTATTGCTTACATGATTAATAATGTGTCATATAACTTCTCCTTCATTAGCAAACATAAGATCACCATTAACCTTTACATTGTTTATCACTATTACAAAGAAGATGTCAGTATGATCTGAATAAGAAGAGAGATGGAACCCACACCCATTTAGTGACCGCTTAATCCATGGCATTCCAAAGTCAAACCTTTGACTCTTTGCATGATCAAACCTCTGGTGAGAGAGATACTATTTTCTACTTACCCACATAATTACCAGCGGTCTTACTAGAGGGAAACGGTGGGCTCATGTGAAACTCCATTGCCTAGCCTGCCGCCGGTTTCTCCGGTACACGAACCGTGTACCGCGTCATGCTCGCATCTCGCGTGCAAGCTTGTCACGCAACTGTGTCGTGGGGTCTACATGGACCCACAAGTGGACCAGTCATGCTTACCAATGAGGAAGAGTGTAGGCTTCTCAGTGATGCTTGCCGCGTAGACGAATGTTTTGCTTTATTTATGTCGGTAATTGTCATTGCTCTTTTATTATTGGTATAATACAAGACAATTAGTTATTGAGGACGCCATCTGATTGAGGGGCGTAAGGGAGGCGGCGGCGGAAGGCATGGGAGCGCTGGGAGAGCTCGAGGCGCTGCAGACGTGCCTGCTCCAACGCATAACGGCAGTGGAGCTCTCCCTGCAGACCCATTCCCTTCATATCTCCTTCGATTGCGTTGCCGACGGCGAGGGCGCCGAGACCACGGAGGCGCGCCTCTCGGCCATACTGAGGGCCCGCGGCGTCGACGACTTCGCCTTCAAGCGCGTGCCCGCAGATTATTACGACAGGCCCATCGAGGTCCGGAGGGACATCCTCGGCGCCCCCTCGGTAGAGCACCTCTGCAAGAGCATCGTTTTGGTGTGTACCACAATCTCTGCCCTCTCTTAGACATTTCATCAAACATGTCATGATCTGTTGCGCTGCATCATCTTGTTTGCCTCCACTTAAATGAATTTGTTTACAGAAAGAAATGCGATCGGTATCAATCTTTTCGTTTGTCGCTATTCCAATTAAAAGACTGGTTTGCATTTTCATTTTATTCCTCTATATTTTGACCTAATGACCACCAATGGTAATCTCTACTGGATGACCTCAACCTAACCTAAGCAGACCATTGTCAGTCTTATGAGCCTATAATATTTCGTGGTAATCTTAGTCATCATTTGTTTGAGACAAATTTATTATGGTGCGCAAATGTATGCAAGTTCAAATGGCAAGTCATCAAATGGCAGTGGGGCTTTCAACAATTCTGAAAAGCATCATAAATAGAAGCTAGCAAAATGATACACTGGCATGTGCAATAGAAGAAATGATTTTTTTTAAATTACATTGATCATATCTAAGCAAATAAAAGCAAAGAGTTTGGCCTGCTATACCAGCAACCATCTAGACATCTTCAAAATTTTGTCTGCTCTAGTCATGTTTAATATCTCAGGAATCTAAGTCATAGAGCTTAACCATTCTAACTTTAATAATTTACAGTTTAGTTTGGATGCTATCTCCAATGTATATCGCTGTGTATTAGTTGTGTGTTGTTTATCCTGTCTTCTAATTTAACATTGATGTTACTAAGTGATCATTTAAAGTCTATGCATGAGTATGGCTCATGAAGTGAGATTGGGTGGAAAAATTTTACTTTCCTTCAGGTGAATACCCAAGCTTTGGCTAGCATTACTGATTGCAGCGATCGTAATAATTCAAAATATTATCTTGTTGTAATCCAGGTAACTTTTTTGCATTTATCTAGTGTGGTAATTGATGTCCATTCTGAGTGTCAGTGTGTTGTTGACTAGATTCTTCATTTTATTGCAGTATGCCGCTCGACTTAATGCTGAAAATATAAAGAATTTTCTTTACACTCTCAACAACAGCAAGATTTCTAAGAAGAAATTCAACAGTAAGATTTTTTTTACCTTTTGGTTATCAGTTTGAACACTGAGAGTCCGATGCATATGATTAAACATTTAGAGTCTCGTCATTTACCTTCTCAGTTATAGTCTAAGATCCCATCTAAACCCTGTGGATAGTGCCAATATTTTTGTAAGTAACCATTAAATATGGTCAAGAATACGCACTTAGATTTCCATGTGTTACAAGAGCCTGGTTGAGTAGTTTTTTTTTTTTCTTTTTTGAACTAGAAATGACTTGAAAAACCATTTTCAAGTCTTGCTTGAAGAATAACATCAGAACATGTATGTTCAAGAAACCAGTTGGATTGCATAGCATCAGTGAAAAGTAAGCGAATACCTCATGAAATAATGGTAAGACAAGTTGCAAGATATAATCCACAAAGCATTTTGGTTAAGTAAATTAAAAATTAGTATAAATATTAGAGATATTACAATTTTGATCATTTGGAAATCAGGTCATTTGGAACATTGATAATGTATCATATCTGTAACACCATCCTATGTGCATAGTATGGTGTAAGCTGGCCAAATGAGTACCAAAACATACTGCAAAGTAGAAGTTTCATCTTAAGTTTTTGTGAGAATGCAACATATTTTTTGAATGTAGAGAAATACAACTGGGTACTTAAGAAAAATAATAAAGCAAATTGAGGAAAGGAAAATTAGGTATAAGTTGAAAGTTGGAACCACAGTCGTTTATGTGGGGCAGAGGTGGATGTCTCTGTCACCACTTGCTACTTTATGTTTTATCTTTTTTGGTTTAAGTTTCTCTGTCTTCGAACTATTAGCTGTCCGGATAACATGTATGTTCCTTTCCCACTTTTTTCACAACTAAATGGCAAAACTTTGATTTGTTCAAAGATTTTATATGATTTCATAGTCATATTAATGATATTCTATGTGTCATAGCCTGAAACAATATATGACTGACAAATTCAGTCCCAAAATACATTTGTGTATAGAATTTACAATTTAGTACAAGGTAGAAATGTCTTAATGGGTTTGTGCTTTAATTTCATGCTTGTAATCTGCATAACTTTTCGCTGGCTAAATTTTCCAAAATTTGGGTCACTTTAAGTTGCACCATTGTAAGTAACTAAGTATAATCACAAATATAAATATACAAGAAAAACTAGCAACTAAATTTCCTATTTCTATATCTAAATCCAGGTATTGAACATATTTAATGTGGAGTGGTAGTTAACAAACATTTGAAGCCAACACTTCTTTTGTTTTATCATGCAGCTTTCCTTTTGCATTCATATATGTGGATAAATGTTAAGAGAGTTCTGTGACATATTGTGTTCTTTGTCCTTGTTAACAGATATGTACTTTAATTTTGTTGAAAAACAATGGTTATACATGTTACAATGAGCAATTTGGATTTTCCATATGAAGCTAGATTATCATGAACATTTCTAACTCATAAGCATTGCATTTAGTCTTTTATTGATTTATTAGGATACCTAGAGAGGAAAATATTCCTAATTTCATGCTACTGTTTGATATGCAGTGAGGCTTGCACCGGAGGAAGAATCACTGAAACTTACTGGTTTTGTGCATAATGCAGTGACATGCATTGGCATGGAAACAGACATTCCGGTAACTTTCAATCTTTTAAATATTATATTGTAGATTGTGGTACTTCATTATTCTCTTTGATCATTATGGATTATGAAGGTATATATCTTATATAAGGTGAAATTTTTAAATACAGCACTGTCAACGGCACTAACATATTAGTTGATCTTTCTCAGGCTAAGTACATATTATCCCCTATAGTTAACTATGTTTAGCATCTCGGTCCCTAGACTTTAAAGAGTTACATTGGGATCCCTATACTTACGAAAGTGAAACATTTAATCCTGTTTCGCTTCACATCGTCTACTCTATTAACGAAAGATATCGCACGTACTGTCACATGCAAAAAATGGTGCTAAAAAAGGGATTAAAAGGTAATTTCACAGTTGCTATTCTCATCGTTTAAAGATATTAATTTTACTTTAGTGCAACTTCTGTGAAAGCTTCACTATCCTCCCGAACGACCTACCAGGAGGAGAAAGCTTCGATTAAATCTCGAAAGCTTGTTCATCAGAACGAGCTTGTTGAGGGTGGCTGCTATCTTGCCAATGCTGCTTGGAAGGCAACCATGGATCTTGTTGTTGGCGATGACGACGACGATGAAGGCTTTGGAGTTGCCAAAGTTGTTGGGCATTTGAGAGTTGAAACGGTTGTCGTTCAAGAATATGGCATTGAGCTCCTTGTCGAAGAGCACCGACAGTAGTGCTCCCTCAAAGTCATTGAACCAAAGATCGAGGTACTTAAGTGACGATTGGTGAAGGGCAACGTCCGGGAATAGGCCGACGAAGTAGTTGTTACTAGCGTTGAGCTCGTTGAGGAGTTTGAGATGGGAGATGTTTTGGGGGATGATGCTGCAGAAGCGATTAGAGTTTATGTGGAGGGCGACGCCAGTCAAGAGGCCGAGCTTCACATGGAGGTTTACCAGGCGATATCGATGCCATTAAGGTCAATGTCAACGATGACAATGATCGAGGGGTCGTCGGGCATCATAGTGCAGAAGATGCTGTGACAACCGCACATGTTGAGGACAACCCGTTGCCAATGAAGTTGTGTGGGTCGGAGCACATGGCTTTCTTCCATGCCCTCAAAGCGACATAGGCAGGATGGAGGCGGGGATTGGCAATGGCGACGTCAATCTCGACATTGAACTCGAAATCATCAGGGAGGTCTCCCTTCTTCGAGAGGGCCATGAACTGATGGTGCGCGATGGAGGCAACCTCAGCATTGGAGAGGGCCGAGGAAAGGCGCGAGAGGGAAGAGAAGTAGAGCAAGATAGCAAAGCCGGAGGGGAGGACGAAGTTGGAGAAGGATAGCGAAATTAATATATTTGGACGGTGAGAATAGCAACTGCAAAATTATCTTTTTATCCCTTTTTTAGTGTCATTTTCTGCACATGACAGCACATGTAGTATCTTCCGTCAGTAGTCAATGGTGTGAGGAAAAACGGGATTAAATGTTTCACTTTTGTAAATATAAGGATTTCAATGTAACTTTTTAAAGTGCAATGATCAGGATGCTAAACATGGCTAACCATAAGGGTAATATGCAATTAGCTTATCTATCTTTGTATGCCATATTATTTGTTTTTTATCTTGTCACCATTTTGATGTATCTCAGCAACATCAAATTTCTCCGGCATTAACGTGGCATACATTGGCCATGACATTTCATAACAGATCATTAAACTACAGCTCACAGTCAGTTTGTATGAGTCCAAAATTAGGAAAGTAATTCTTTAGTTATCTTGTGTTGCCAAAATATTTAATATTCAGCGACCCGTGCTTCTCTCTCTCTCATAATGGAGTTTTTGTAATTGTGAGATTCATGACGAGGTTTATTTCAGGTAATACTTGATGAAGCCATCACAAAGTTGAAACCGAATTTCTTCTGGTTGGGTGGTGGAGAAGTTGATCTCAAGCTCCGAATCAGGACCTCTCAGTTTATTAGTGCTGTCAACCCCTTTGTGGTCAATTGTAGTTCTTGATTCTCTCTGCCCAAAGTTAAATCCCAAACATCCAGCTCGTGATGACAGGCAATTTCGACAATGGAAATACCCGTCGAATTTCCTGTTGGATTTGGATAAAGAATGTTCGTCTTTTGGAGCATGCACTCTTTTAACCATTCTTCCATAAACGATGAATCGGTTTGTGGTAGCAGCTAACTATTACAGCATGTTTTTGTCACTACAATTTTATTAAAGGGAACAACTTATGGAAGCTTGAAACCGTTGCCCCACGGTGGGCTTGGAATGTTTTAAGTTAGTTCTTTGATAAATGTAAGGGTGTTCATGTCAAATTGAATCAAGATATTGTACTAAACCTGAATAGAATCTGAACTGAATCATTTTGAATTACTTTTGTAATACCCTGATTAATCTCAACCTTATAAGATTCTGATGAGTATATTATTATAAACTTCAACTTAAGTATTTTGATCAAAACTTTAGTCGTGATAAGTTTGGTTTGAATGAGTTCATCAATATTTTAATGATTATAAATGATTTTGGTATGGGAGAGTACTTTTCGATTAATCAGTTCAATTCAATCTAAAGCCTTCAAAAACCCTAATATCCCTTCCCATGAGTTCACCATTCTTTCTTTTGTCTTTGTGGCTCTTCCTCTTCGTCTTTGTACACATACACAAAGGTGAGGACTCGAAGATGATCAGATATTATCCTAATCTCAACCATAAATGATACCAATCAGAGGTAGATGGATGTTGCTCTTAGTACTACGCTAACACACATCATAAGAAATCAAGGTCTTTCGATTATGAGAGGAGTATGATTGTAAGACTAAATCTTAAAGAAAATGATCGAAGGACACAAATAGAGCCTATATATATATATATATATATATATATATATATGTGTGTGTGTATATATATATATG